GGTAGGAGGAGGAGGAGGAGGAGGAGGAGGAGGAGGAGGAGGAGGAGGAGGAGGAGGTGGTGGAGGAGGAGGAAGGAGGAGGAGGAGGAGGAGGAGGAGGAGGAGGGAGGAGGAGGGGGAGGAGGAGGAAATACAGGCTTTTGTTTCCGCCGGCTCCCGCCGGCCTTGCGCCAACTTCCGCCGGAGGCCCGCCGCCGTTCTGCTTCTGCCAGCCGCCCGCTGTGGCCGCGTGGCAAGGCCCCCCTCCTGCGGGGTCGTGGCCCTCGCCGCGGGGTCGCGGCCCCGGGGGGGGGGCTGCTTTCTGCGAGGGGATGCCCGCGCAGCGCAGAGACGCGCGACCCCGCGGCCCCCGCCCGAGCGACGAGAAGAAACGGGTCCCACGCGAGGTGTGGCAGGGCGACCTTGCGCGGAGGCTCGCGCGGGCCGCCCGCGCAGCACGCCGCAGTTCGGCGGCGAGCCCAGGGGGGAGGTGAGAGGGGGCAGGGCTTCTCAGAAGGCGGCGGGGGCTTCGGCGGCGGGGCTTCTCAGAAGCCCCCGCCCTTTCTGACAAATTGTCCATGCGTCCTCCCATACATTTGTTGGTCGGCGGGGCGAGGGCGAACCTCTTCCGCTAAAAACTAGGCGGGCTACGCGCAGCTCTAATTAGGGAGACAGGGCACAGGCGGGCGGGGCGTCAGGCGGCCAGAGAGGGCGGGGCCCGGGGTGCAAGCGGTGCCGAAGAGCTTGCACAGGAAAAGGTACGCCGCGGACAGGGGCCGGAGGCGAAGATCCGGAGGGTGAGCGATGTGGTGTTGCCGTCAACGGCACGTCGTGAACACCAGCCTCAAGCACTGCAGAGGGGGACGTGCCACGTGGCCAGGTCGACGTCCAAGGGGTAGAAGACCACCACGTAGGCGATGAGCAACGTTGTGCCACCGGATGGTGTGGAGGAGGCCCAGGGGGAAGAGGAGCACCACGAAGGCGATGTGCAGCGTTGTGCCACCGGGTGGTGCGGAAGCGGCCTGGGGTGGTAGTCCAATCCGCGACCAAGAAGCAGCCAGCAAGAGGTGCGGCCAGAGACGAGGGCAGTCCGTGTCCGACAGGATGTCGGTGGAGTGCAGGTAGGATATCTGACCTGCACAGTCGCGTCCTCCCAGACATGCGACGTCTTGATTTGTTCAAGATGGCGTCCCAGGAAGTCATCCTGAGTCGTTTTCGGACGCTCCTGGGGCTCGGCGAAGGCCTCTAGAGGTCGAAAATGATGAAAAACTCGCCGTCCTGATTCTTTCACGACGCGAAGACAGAGATGGCCTCTCGGAAGGCTGGGGAGCCTCTGAGAATGCCAGCCGCCTTCTGAGAAGGCCGGCCCCTCTCACCCCACCCTGGGCTCACCGCCACCTTACCTGGCTGTCGTTAGCGTGAACTTCTAATGCTGCACAGTCGGCTCGATGGATGTGAAGCGATTTTCGACGCTAACAACACACACCAGCACCATCATCATCATCATCATCATCATCAGCAGCAGCAGCAGCAGCAGCATTATCATCATCATCATCGTCATCATCATCATCATCATCATCAGTAACCGTATAATCATAATCATATTAGTCGTCATCATCATCAACATCATCAACATCGTCATCAGCATCGCCATCATCATCCGAATCAGCATCATCGTCATCATCATCTCTATCTTGACCACCACCGTCATCATCATCATCAGCATCATCATCATCATCATCGCCATCGTCATCATAACCATCATCATACTTACCACCACCACCACCACCACCATCATCATCATCATCATCATCAGTATCAGCATCGTCACCATCATCATCAGCAGCAGCATTACCACCAGCATCAGCAGCAGCAGCATCATAGCATCATCAGCATCACTAGCATCACCATCATCATCAGCATCATCATCAGCATATTGATCTGGATAATATGCATCATCATCAGCAGCGGCAGCATCACCATGATCAGCATCACCAACATCATCATCATCATCATCAACATCATCATCATCCTAATCATCATCATCATCGTCGTCGTGGTCGTCGTCTTCTTCATCATCATTGCCATCAGCATCATCATCATCATCATCATCATCATCATCAGATCACCATTGCCATCATCATTATCGTCGTCATCAGCATTCTCACCATCAGAATCATCATCGTTGTCGTCATCATTATCATCCTCCTCAGCATCATCATCATCATCATCATCATCATCATCATCATCATCATCATCATCATCATCATAATCATCATCGCCATTGTCTTCATCATCATCAGCAGCATCATCATCGTCATCATCATACTTATCGCCATCGTCATCATCAGCACCATCATCACCATCATCATCAACATCGTCATCATCATCATCGTCATAATCATCAAAACCATAAGCAGGGCGGAAATATCCGCCCAACTTCTGGAACTCCCTGGATTGCCATGTCCGCCCTGCTTTGATGGAGTTTGCATCATTGGGGGTGCACCTGCGACGCAATGTCGAGTCGGAAAGTCCACTGCAGCAAGCCCCCCTCCTCCGAGGACGGCGGCGGACAGCGTGGTGCGCCCAGACGTCTCCTGCTTGGACGTGGTGCTCGAAAAATCAGGACCAGAGCCCTGGACGCCACCGTCGTGCTGCATGTTTCGAGCCGTCGCCCGCCAATCGGAAGAGGTAGGTGGAAGCATGGAGTAGGAACGCGAATGAAGCAGATTGGGTTCGGGCCCGCACAAATAATAACACACACATGCACACACACAGACACACACACACACACACACACACACACACACACACACGCGCAACAGCAAAAATGCATCGACGCTTGAAGTAGGAAGGCGCTTGAAGTATACTGGGATATGGGAATCCTAAATACCTGGTTTCAGTGACGGGCGTGTATAGCCGGATCGATATGTGAGTTTCCTCCTCCGCCTCCACTCTTCGGCCTCCTCCCTCTTCCGCCTCGTCGTTGCTCCCTCCACTCCTCTCCTCCCTCGCCTTCCTTCCAGTGCCAGTCCCCTCCCCCCCGAGGACGGCGGCAGACGGCGCGGTGCGCCAGGACGTCTCCTGCTCTCCTCCTCCTCCTCCTCCTCCTCCTCCTCCTCCTCCTCCTCCTCCTCCTCCTCCTCCTCCTCCTCCTCCTCCTCCTCCTCCTCCCCCCGGGCGGGCAGCCAATTGGTGTGGGCGGCACCTCCAGGCGTCCGGGGGAACTGAAACCCGCTTAGTCGTGGCCTGTATGGGGGCTGCGCCACTGCCGTGGGTGGGTGGGTGGATTCGGCAGTGGTGGCACCGACCCCGGTCTTCGGGCCTAAACGGTAAACCCGTTTCGGATACGGCCGGTTCGGGTCTCCTCCACTGAATGTCTTGGCCCGGCAACTCCCTTGTCGCGCCAGGGTGTGGAGGGGGGGTCTGGCTTCGGCCAGGCTCACGGGGAGTCCTGCTCTGTCGCCCTTGGGCAAGGGGACTGGGGGGAGCAGGCCAGGGCACCCGCCCCGAGACTCGCACCAGGCGCCCCGCCTGGTGGCGAGGGGTGTCCTGTCCCCAGCCAGTGCCTGGAGTGCCTGGCGGGTGGCAGGGGGGCCCCCTCCTCTTGGGGAGGGGGGTCGGTCCTGGAGGCGTAGGACGTGTACGTGCACCTCTGAGTCCCACTCCCCTCCTAGGCCGCATGAGGTCACTGCAATGCCCTGGCAGTGTTGGGTTTTTAATACTTATCACTACGTGATGGCGGAAATCCTGGAAATCCTCCTCCTCCTCCTCCTCCTCCTCCTCCTCCTCCTCCTCCCCCTCCTCCGAGGACGGCGGCAGACGCGCGCGCGGTGCGCCCGGGCGTCTCCTGCTTGGACGAGCTCACGATCGTCGCCCGCAGCGCCTCCTCCCTCCGGGCGGGGCTGGCCTGCTCCTGCCCCGCGGGCGGCGGGGCGAGGAGGAGGAGGAGGAGGAGGAGGAGGAGGAGGAGGAGGAGGAGGAAGAGGAGGAGGGAGGAGGAGGAGGAGGAGGAGGAGGAGGAGGAGGGGGAGGAGGCGGAGGAGGAGAACGGGAGCGGGAAGTTCGGGAGCCGAGGAGTCGAGGGTCGAGCAGGACCCAGAGATCCGACGCCACCCAAAAAATTGGAGCGGGCGGCTTTGGCGGCTTTCGGCCTCCATGGGGCCCTCGCAGGGCCTCGGGACCGCCGGAGCACGACTCAGGACGACAAACCGGCCCTGGGGAAGTGGTCCAGACCTCCGTGGCCCACGCGTCGAACAAAATTGGAGCGGCCAGATGGCCAGACGTCTTGGGAGGCGGAGAGCTGAGGGATGAGGGAGGGAGGACGGGGAGGGTCGAGGAGGGAAGGGTCGAGGAGGGAAGGGTCGAGCAGGGGGGGAGAGTCCAGGGTCGAGAAGGGGGGGGAGGGCGGGGGGAGATGTAGGCAATAGAGAGAGAGGGACCCAGACATGATCGCGTCGAGCAAAACTCAGAACGGAAGCTCTGCGCCGTCTTCGGCTTCGGGAGGCCCTCGCCAGGCCTTGGGCATCGGCGAGGGCCTCCAGGGGCCAAAAGCGGAAAAGGACCTCCTCCTCCTCATCATCATCATCAGCAGCAGCATCATCCTCATCATCCTCTTCCTCCTCCTCATCATCATCATCCTCTTCCTCCTCCTGCTCCTCCTCCTCCTCCCCCTCCTCCCCCTCCTCCCCCTCCTCCCCCTCCCCCTCCCCCTCCTCCTCCTCCTCCTCCTCCTCCTCCTCCTCCTCCTCCTGGGACGTCTGGGGAGAGGCGGCGACGAGGGAGGGGAGAGCGAGGGGGCGAGGAGCGGCGGCGCGACCAGAGGGGGGGGCCGCCGGCCGCCTCGGAAGGCCTCGGGAGGCACTCGGCCCCTTCTGAGAAGCAGAGGGCTCGGGAGGAAGAGAAAACAGGACAGGAGGGCGAGGAGGGCGAGGGGGGCTCAATAGGAAGAGAAAACAGGACAGGAGGGAAGGGAGGCCGAGGAGGGAGAACGAGGGGGCCGAGGGAGGACGGGGGGAGGAGGGCGAGATAGACAACGACGAGGAAGCCGAGGGAGCCCCAGGATGCCAGCTGAGTTGGAAAGGGGGGGGGCCGCCGAGAACCGACACTCAATAAACGGCCCCCGGGCCCCTCCCAAAGTCCATCCTGGCCAGTCTCCCCCGCCGCGCCCAGCCGCGGCGACGAGAACCTCGGGGAACCGACGAACACCCTCGAGCCTAGCTGCCCCGATACGCAACACGCAGCACGCAGCGTATTGATACGGAGCTCAACACGTAGACCGAACACGTGAATCTGACGCGATACGTTCGCCAACACGTAAGACAATACGCGGAGCCAACACGCGACGACGTCGCCGTCGCCGCCGACCACGACGACCACGGCCACGACGACGATGGCGGCGGAGGGCGACGGTCGGAGGATCGCGGTCGGGGGCATCGTCGTGGCGACAACTGCGAGATTTGGGAAGTCGACCTCGACTTCACCAGGAACACGGACTAACATATGTCAATGTTTTGTGTGGCCGAGTGTTACTAGCAAAAACACACCTCGTCGTCACCGCGAGCGCCACGACGACCGCGACCACGACGACGACCACGGCGACCACGAACATGACCACGACCACGACGACGACAGTCGTCGGGCGGCGATCGTCGCGACCATCGTCGACGTCGTCGTCGTCGCCGTCATCGTAATCGTTGTCATCGTGGTCGTCGCCGCCGTCGTCGTCGCAGTTACCGTCGTCGCCGTTGATGTCGTCGTCGTCGTCGTGTCGTCACCATCGTCGTCGTCGTCGTCCCCGTCGTCGTCGTCGTCGTCGTCGTCGTCGTCGTCGTCGTCGTCCCCGTCGTCGTCGTCGTCCCCGTCGTCCTCGTCGTCGTCGTCGTCGTCGTCGTCGTCGTCGTCGTCGTCGCCGTCGCCGTCGCCGTCGTGGTCGCCGTCGCCGCCGCCGCCGCCGCCGTCGTCGCTGTCGTCGGCAGCGGCGCCGTCGGCGTCGGCGGCGGCGGCGTGCGCCGGCGACGGGCGCCCGCCTCCGCCTGCGGCTCTGGCCGCTGCGGTGCCGCGGGGGGCGCGGAGATGCCCGCCAGCGCGGGGTCGCCGGCGGCCAGCGCCTTCCGTCGACCCCTCCCCAGAAGGCCCCCTCTCTCAGAGTACCACGTGGCACCTTTTCCAGAACAAGAACGGACCGTAGACGGATCTAACCTGTCTCCGGCCTTTTAAGTACTGCGCCGAACGCAGCGGCGGCGTTGTCTATAGACGCGTCCACTCGGAATGTGTGTATGTTAATGTGTATGAATGTGTGTGTATGTGTGTGTGTGTCGCTCTCTCTCTCTCTCTCTCTCTCTCTTTCTCCATTCTCTATGAACAGCATCAGATGTGTCTATAAACGCTTGTGGCTAGAAAGTGAAAAACGGTGTGATGCACAGCCCTGGGAAGCGGTCAACTGTCACAAAAGACCAGTGCAGCAAACGCGTCTGGAAGTGACGTTGTGACCTTGTGGGGCCTGATGCAACCCGAGCGGCCATAGACACTCGAGCGTCAGACCGTGCTGCCCCTTCGGAGGCGGTCTGCACAACAGGCGCGCAGCTGTGGGCGGATACCCCCATGGGCCATGGGGAACCAGCAGCTTGCGTCCTGCCCCCACCACCATCCGTCCCACCCATCTTCAACCTTCTTCTCAACTATCACGGCCTTCCAGAGGAGAAGGAGGAGAAGGAGAAAGAGGAGGAGGAGGAGGAGGAGAAGGAGGAGGACGAGGAGGATCGAGACTGGGCTCATGGAGTTCAGGCATCTGCTTTGAACCATTGTGAAAGCTTGAAGCTGGAGCTCGGTTGACCACCAACCTTGCAGGCGACCCCCGCCCTGGGACGGGGCGGAGGAGGAAGAGGAGATGAGGGCGAGGCGAAGGAGGCGGAGGTGGAGGAGGAGGGCGACGACGAGGTGAAGACGGGTCAGGGAGAAGAGCACGAGGAGGAAAGAGAGGCGGTCCGCCAGCGGCGGCCGGCTGAGCGCGGACGTCTTCGTCTTCGTCGCCGTCGTGGCCGCCGTCGCCGCCGCCGCGGTCGTCGTCACCGCGGTTGCATTCGCCGCCGTCGTCCTGGTCGTCGCCGTGCCGCCGTCGTCGCAACAGACGTCGCCGCCGCCGTCGCCGCCGCCAGCGTCGGCGTCGCGTCCCTCGCCATGGCCTTCAATATGATCGTCGTGGTCGTCGTCTTCCTCCTCCTCCTCCTCCTCCTCTTCCTCCCTCTCCTTCTCCTCCTCCTCCTCCGCCTCCTCCTCCTCCTCCTCCTGCTCCTCCTGCTCCTCCTGCTCCTCCTGCTCCTCCTGCTCCTCCTGCTCCTCCTGCTCCTCCTGCTCCTCCTGCCCTCCTCCTCCTGCTCATCCTGCTCATCCTGCTCTTCCTGCTGCTCCTCCTCCTCCTCCTCCTGTTCCTGCTGCTCCTCCTCCTCCTCCTCCTCCTCCTGCTCCTCCTCCTACTCTCCTCCTCTCCTCCTCCCCCTCCTCTTACTTTCCCTCTTTGTCTCCGCCTCCCTCCCGGCCGCGCTTCCTTTCCACTGCTCCTCCTCCTCCTACCTCCTCCTCCTCCTCCTCCTCTTCCTCCTCTCCTCCTCCTCCTCTCCTCCTCGCTCCCTCCTCCTCCTCCTCCTGCTCATCCTGCTCCTCTTGCTCCTCCTCCTCCTCCTCCTCCTCCTCCTCCTCCTCTCCTCCTCCCCTCCTCCTCCTCCTCCTCCTCCTCCTCCTCCCCCTCCTCTTACCTTTCCTCTTTGTCTCCGCCTCCTCCCGGGCCCGCCTCCTTTCCACTGCTCCTCCGAACTCCATCCTCACATCCTCCTCCTCCTCCTCCCCTCTTCCTCCTCCTCCTCCCCCCCCCCCCCTTCCTCTCTCCTCCTCCTCCTCCTCCTCCTCCTCCTCCTCCCTGCTCCGTCCTGCTCCTCCTGCTCCAGCCTCCTCCTCCTTCCTCCTCCTCCTCCCTCCTCCTCCTCCTCCTCCTCCTCGCTCCTCCTCCTTCCTCACCCCTCCTCTTACCTTTCCCTCTTTGTCTCCGCCTTCCCATCCCTGGCCTCGCCATCCGTTCCACTGCTCCTCCTCCTCCTCCTCCTCCTCCTCCTTCCTCCTCCTCCTCCTCCTCCTCCTCCTCCTCCTCCTCCTTCTCCTCCTCCTCCCTGCGCTCCCCGCCCTCTGGCCATCGTCGCCGCCGCCGCCGCCGGCGTCGTCGCCCTGCTGGCCTGCTGGCGTCCGACGGCCTTCCTTTCGGGCGCCCCCTCCCCCCGCCACCCCCACGCAGCCCCGCTGCCTCGAGGCCGGTGGGCCGCGGCTTGTCCGAGGGCGCCGCCTTTCGCGGGGTCGTGGCAGCTTTCGCCGCCGCCGACGTCGTCGCCACCGCCGTCCTCATCATCGCCGCCGCCGTCACCGTCGCCGTCGTCGCCGTCACCGCGGCCGTCGTCGCCGCTGCCGTCGCCGCCACCGCCGTCGTCGCCGCCGTCACCGAGGCCGTTATCGCAGCCGCCGTCGCCACTGCCGCAGTCGCCGCGGTCGCCGAAGTCGTGGTCGTGGTGGTCGTCGTCGTCGTCGCCGTCTTGCATCGGAACTGAGGGTCGATACAATGGCATACGCAATCCTTTGAAAAGACCCTCCCCGGCCAGCGCGCGCTCACTCGCTTTCGGAATTGCAAGCCGCTTGGCCAAAGTTCCCATGCTCCGCTATATCATCCCCTTCACCCCCATCCTCTCCCCCTTGGCAATAGACTCTCTTTGTCGCACCTCCAGGCGTGTCGGCAGGGCGTGCCCGGCGTTTCGCCTGAGACCCCCGCCCCCGCCGATGATCACGGCGCTTGGGATTTCCAAACTTTGCACGGATGACGAATGGGTGGTCTTCAACATGTGCCCCTCGCCTGACCGCTGCGCACATGTGTGCTACACGTGTCCAGCATCCGTGCTGCGTTCAGAATGCGGCTCTCGCCTTCTCGCTGTTCAACTCAGCCATGAGCCGCTGCAAACTGTTACATGGATGAAAGCCCTTCTCCTTTTTGACGTTGGGCTGTCGCTAAAGATGCCGACCTATGAGATTGCCAGATTGTGGATGCTTCTGCCAAAAAAATACACGAATCGAAGGTGGCACCTTGTCAGCATGAGGCTATCGCGTTAGACTTCATGCTATGGTATACCCCGAACTGCACAACTCATGGAGCAACTCTACGGATGGAGGGCTGTCCCTTTCCAACCCAGGACTCTTGCTGGGCGCGTCCTTGAACTTTCTGGTTCTCGCTCGGCTCCTGGCAATTATCGCTACACGGATGGATGACCGTTCCTGCTCAAAACCTGGCCCTCGCCTGAATGCCAGACCCGCGGGGACTTAGTTTCTCAGGGGGTGGTTTCCGCTATGAAGAGCGGTGCGTTCACAAGGGGCCTAATGATGACTCAGTTTGGGATGGCAGCGGTGGCGAGGCGACCCTGACGAGCGACGCATGCACCAGAGACCAAATGATGACCTAGTGTCCCCAGCAGGCAGAGGAGGAGGAGGAGGAGGAGGAGGAGGAGGAGGAGGAGGATGTGGCGATGGTGTGGAACGGCACCGATGGCGAGGCGACTCTTTGACCCGACGGGTGGACGACCAGAGCGTCGGCTCCTGGAGTCAAAGTGTGCATGAAGGACGGGTGGCAAGGGCGAAGGACCCCTGGAGGCCGAGGTTGAGACTTTGTTGGGGCGGCGGGCAACCCAAACCCCAGGGACGCAAAGGGTACCCCAACCCAGGGAGGGGCCAGCGAAAACGGCAGAGGACGGGCCGCAGAGGCAAGGACACGAGGGCACCCTGGATGAAGGCCCGCGTCCTGGCTAGGCGCGCAGGCTCCCGTCACTCCCGCGGACCTGCTGCCCCCAGGGGGTGGGGCGAGGTGGGCAGCTCGAGAAGCGAGGGCCATGGGCCTGAGCCTGCGCGGCGGCAGGCAGGGCGCAGCGGGGGGGGGGGGGGGCGGGGACACAGGACGCGTCGAGGCAGGAGTCGGCGGCGCGCCCAGGGGGCAGGG